TCCAAATATGTTCCTTAATCTTGTTTAAAGCACGTGTATCGTCGGTGATAATCTCCTGTATACTTCCAGCCTTATTTAAAAGCCAATTACCACTTTTAACTGAATATTGGCCATCTTTCGTATAAGCCCATATATATCGATCCTCCAAGCTTGGTTCCGGAGGAAAGGACCGAATTTTAATAACATCACAGGGTGGAAAAAACTCATTTGAGAGTTGAGAATTCCATTCACCATCTACTGTTATCAATGAGCTTACCTTTAGACTTATATCCATTAGAGATTCTTTATTCATTGGACGTCTCGGGATGCCATCAAAGATCCATTTGTCAATCCAAATATGTGTAGTCTGTCCATTTCCTATAGCTTTCATGAGCCCTCGTTCAAGTAATTCTTTCCCAAAAATGATGCTTCTCCATGCATATGAAGGCCTATAGCCCGCTGTAGCCTCAAGAAGAGTTTTCTTAGGATAATACCTCGCTTTAAAGACACGGGCCAGCAAGGAGTTAGGTACATCTAATAATCGCCAAGCTTGTTTGGCGAGTAGGGCTTGATTAAACCGTCCTATGTCTCGTAAACCAAGTCCTCCTTGCGCCTTAGATTTACAAATCTTTTCCCATGAAACCCAGTGCATCTTCTGCTTCTCTTCGCGTTCATTCCACCAAAAATTTGCCATTGCGCTTGTAATCTTTTGGCATTGATACTTTGTCAAACGGAAGCACGACATTGCATAAACCGGTAGAGCTAACGCCACAGATTTAATGAGGACCTCTTTGCCGCCTAAGGATAGAGTCTTCTCATACCAACCACTAAGTCTTGATTTTAGTCGGTCTGTAATAAAACCCAAAAGCTCTCTCTTGGATCCGCTAAAACATTCTGGAAGCCCAAGGTACTTGCCTAACCCACCTTCTTGTTCAATCCCTGTAAATAAACCCAACAAGCGCTTCATGTACGGGTCTAACTTCTTGCCAAAAGTGATCGCCGATTTTTGAAAGTTGATTTCTTGTCCCGAAGCCCTCCCATATACACGCAGGCATGTCAAGAATTCCGTGCATTCTTTGAAAGTAGCTTGACAAATAAACAAACTATCATCAGCGAATAATAAGTGCTGGATCGATGGACACGATGGAGTTAACCTCAGTCCCGTCAATCGGCCTTCTTGTTCAGCTTTATTCATTATGTGAACTAGAGCTTCAGCACAAAGAATAAAGAAAAATGGCGAAAGTGGATCACCCTGTCGAAGTCCTCTCTCAGGTTTAATATATCCATAAGATGATCCATTGATAAGTACAGAATAAGAGACCGATCTTACACAACTCATAATCCATTGAACCCAATGAATGTCGAAACCCAAGCGGATTAGTAATTCTTCTAGGAAGTTCCATTCAACTCGATCATACGCTTTAGACATGTCGGTTTTAATGGCCATGAAATCTTCATCACAATTGGAATTTGTGCGTAAGGCATGTACCATTTCATGTGCCAAGAGAATATTATCAGAAATTAGTCTACCCGACACAAAAGCTCCTTGCGTGTCTGAAACTATTGCTGGAAGAAAAGTCTTCAAACGATTACACAGAATCTTAGAAACAATCTTGTAGATGACTGAGCAGAGACTAATAGGGCGTAAGTCTGTCATTCTTGATGGATTTGGCTTTTTCGGGATTAAACAAAGCTGTGTAAAATTCCATTCATGTGGAAGAGAACCAGACTGAAAAAACTGTTGAACCTCTGTAACAACCTGTGGTCCAACAATATCCCAATAAGCTTGATAAAAAAGACCAAACATCCCGTCCGCTCCCGGAGTGCTATCTCCACGTATACTAAAGGCTGCAATCTTGACTTCCTCAGCTGTAACTGGTCGAGTAAGCTCTACATTCATGTTTGTTGAAACTCGTGGTGACATACCTTCAAGAGCTTCTGTTATGTTATCCGGTTTGGAACTGGAGAATAGTTTCCGAAAATATTCAACAGCTATCTCTCCTTTGGAACCCTCAGAAAATTGCTCCACTTCATTATTATCAAAGAGAGACAATATACGATTTTGTGCTCGTCTCCTTTGCACACTTCCATGAAAGAATTTCGTATTTCTGTCTCCTTCCTTTAACCATCGTTCGCGACTCTTTTGTTTCCAATACAATTCTTCTACACGATACGCTTCAGCCAGTTCCCACTTTAAAGATTTCAGTAGGTTACGGTTTGGCTGTGTCTTAACGCCCTTATCTTCAAGTCTCTGGCGTAGCTGATTAATTTTCTCTTTAGAATTCTGATTAGAAATTCTTTTCCAATGGGAAATTGATTTACGACAGTCAGAAATTCTTTGGAGAATTGCTTTGTAACCTTCCGCTTCTCCTTTACACCAGCTTTCTTTGATGATTCCAGCGACTTCTGGCTTTGAAATCCAACGTTTATCAAACATAAAACGCCCAGACCTAGTCATGTTTTCATTCACAAACCGTAAGAACAGTGGTCTGTGGTCAGAACCTATACGTTCAAGATACTCTGCTTGGACTCGTGGAAAAATTTGAAACCATGATGCGTTCCCAAGTGCCCTATCAAGACGGCATTGCACCCATTGATTATGACGATCACCAGCCCAGGAGAAACTGTTTCCAATGCTTGGGACCTCCCGTAGACGACAATCACTTATCATATTCCTAAAAGGAAAGAAAGTGTATTTTGCCCGTGCCGGTCCACCAAGCTTCTCTGTATTATCCATGATCTCATTAAGATCTCCCAAGACTAACCATGGTTCATTGCGAATAGTACCAATATCAGTGAGTTTGTCCCATACTGCCTGTCGTAGATGAGACGCTGGATCTCCATACACACATGAAATAAAGAATGATAAAGATCCAAGTTTCACCTTCACATCTATAATCCTATGATCCGAATTGATCACCTCTACTTCATAAGAATTCTTCCAAAATAATGCTAAACCTCCACTTAGGCCAACTGGATCGACGATATGTGAGTGATCATATCCCATCCATCTCTGAACTTTCGACACGTGATTACTGGAGTTTTTCGTCTCCATGAGGAACAAAAAATCTGGGAAATGCTCACGCCTCATTTCCCTCAAAGTAGGAACTGTCAAAGTGCCCCCCAATCCTTGACAGTTCCAGCTCATAAAGCTCATATAATTGATTCGGCAGTTCCTCATTCGGAACCGCCTTTCCTTCATCGCGTTTAGCAACTTTAGATACTACTTCATCCTCAACTATCACTGCCTCAGGAGCCTTGCGCTTCATTAAGATTCCTTCTTCTCCTGTTTTTTCAATCATTGGTGAGCTAGTAGCTGAAACTTCTTTCAACATGGCCTGTTTCTTCCTTCTCCACTGATTAGGCCTATTACGTTTCTTTGGAGCTTTCAGTGTATTTCCGGATGGACCAGTTACAAAAACCGCCTTAGACCCCGTAGAAATACTTGTTTGCTCTGTTGCAGTAACGTAAGAAGCCGATGATGTTGAAACAGACTTGACCTGCCACTTCCTTCCTTGTCTTGCAAAGGGCTCCGAGGTTATCATATTCTCCTTGGCAGTTGGAACCATTGGTACTTTTTCAAAATCAAAAACCAATCCTCGCCCTTTATCCACATCTGTTGTAAAGAGTGGAGGAGCTTCAAGCCGCAGCAAAGTTTTTTGTCCCTGCAAATCCTTTTCCAAATCCCACACTGATTTGCGAACTCGAACTACTCTTACTTTTCTTTCTTGAGGATCCTCAACAGACAGAAATTGTCGCATTTCATCGAGAACAGCCTTTGCGATCTTCGGTTTACCAGAGATTGTATCAATGCCAACATCATCATCTGTAAGTACACCAAACAGAGGATCATCTTTACTTATTTTGGGAATCAGCCGAGTTGGAATGACGCCAGCTGGTTTAATCCTTCCCGTAGCAATTGCTTGCCGGTTTGAAGGATTAAAAGGGCATCGTTCCTTATCATGAGTTAGGCGGAGACATTGGTAACATCTTTTACGTATCCTCTCATATTCAATTCCTATAGATACCACTTCACCTGTTGGTAATTCCACTTCCCTTGAGTTTTTTAAAGGCTTGTTAACATCAAAAAGCACACGAACTCGCACAAATCCCCGACTCTGCGGTTTCAAGGGATCAAAAGCAACATGAGTTACTTATCCAAAGTGATCTGCAATCTCACGAATCGTGTCAGCGGTATTGTAGTTAATCGGGATATGACAAAGTCGTATCCAAATCGGGAGAACTTTCAGATAATCTTCAGGAGGATTCTCCATCCAGCGTTCTAGAGTCATGCTCCAATCATTGAAAGTCCAAGCTCCAGCCTCTAGTACTGTTAACAAATCCGATTCCGAGTCAAAAATAAATTGAAATTTATCCTCTGGTAGAGCTATTCCTCGTGCTCTGTTGTAGACTCTCCATAAACGAGGCATCTCATGAATCACACCCGTCATCTTCTGGTTTTCCGGGCACAGAAGTTTGCCTATGATACTACAAGCATTCCTCTCAACAGAACTGTACTTAGGTAGGTCTTTAAGCACAATAGGTTTATCATCTTCAAGCGACATCTCCTGCAAAGCTTTGTCCAGTGCGTATTCCATCACCTTCACTTCGAAACAAACGATTTCAAGACCAGAACCTTCAAACTTGATGAAACTGAGGACGAAACAACCGGCGGCGCCTTGGTGATTGTAGAATTAGGTTAAGAACTTTCTATAATTCTTAAGGAATTGCCAGAAATCTCAGCAAAAACAGCAACAAATCTTCTCAAATCCGGCAAAAAAAGGAAATTTTCCGGTAATCTTAATCTTTCTCCGAAGGTTTGAAACCCTCTAAATGAGAAAGAGGTTCCTAAGCCCACCCTTGGGAATGTATATTCCACAGAATATAAGCCTCAAGGTTCATGGAATTTAAATAATAGTCATTCTAATGTTGACAATGATCAACAACATCATGTAAGTAGTATATTCTTTGTCGATTATAATTAATTTCGTAAACGAAATGTTTATTATACATGTGATGTGATGATGATTAGTTTGCGGTGTCCCGCACCAAAGGAGAAAAAGGAAAATACTACAGTGGAGCAACAATGATAGTTTGATTAGTTTCTCTAAATGATCCTAAAGTTAAACTTCCACAGTATAGTTCTGCTCGTATACATCTTCAGATTGGAGACGATTTTATACAAACTGGCTGGGTTGTAAGTTATTCTCATGTCTTATATTTAATTTGAATTGTAGCCCGAATAATATTAAAATAATAATCATGCTAAGTAGTATCTTACTCCCTCTGTTTCACAAATAGTGTCATTTTAGAGTTTTGCACACAGATTAAGAAAACATTAAATTTTTTGTTTTTTCTAAACAAAAACATCATTTACTATATACCTAAACATAATCTGCCCAATAGTAAAACAATCTGCAGAATACTAATAGTCATAAAACATAAAAAATTATTAAATTTTGCATTGAAAACCTAAAACGACACTCTTTGTGAAACAAAAATAAAACCTTAAAACGACATTTTTTATGAAACGGAGGGAGTAATAATTAGTTAACGTTTTGAAATAAATATTTATCTTACAGATAAATCCGAAGTTATATGGTGACAACAAAACTCGGAATTTTGTGTATACAAAAGTAAGTTTATTATTAATATACCTATATCTAATAAATATATTAAGTAACCCATAATAAGTTTGTAAAATTTTTTTATATTCTAAGGCATTTATATGCTAGGCATAACGATATATAAATTGATATAGGCAGGTAACAACCAATGTTATAACAGCATGTGCCAAGCTGGGATCATATCTGTCCGATCTGATTTACCTCTTGGTTCTGTTCTAGAACCTGTTTGTGTTCGTGGTTCTAGTCCAAGTATATCAGTTACGATTCGCTTATTCAAGGTTTGTAAATAATTAATATCATATTTTCTAATTTATGAGACTACCATATTTACTATATTTATATCTCAACTAGTTTATTCTTACACATATATATGATTATATAAATATATATATATATATATATATATATTTTAAAAGGAAAATAAATAGAACATATATCAAACAACATAACTATAATCAATGATATGTATTTAACAAATATACAAGCGTAATATTTTGTTTTGTTTGGGAAATTACATAGACTATTTTAAAAATATTTTCATCATAACTATATAATAATAATTAAAATATGTTTTTTCTTATGTGATTTTTTTTATAAAAGGATAAGGCAAATGGTAACTGGTGGCTCGATTATGGACAAAATATAATTAGGTTTTGGCCAGCAAGTAGATTTAAACAAAGCTATGCAACCAATGTTGAGTGGGGAGGAGAAGTATATAGTGCAAATATGCCAAGTCCTCAGATGGGGAACGGATATTTTCCGAGCAAAAAACCACTTGACGATGCCATTATTTTCAATATAACTACAATAGATGAGAAATATAAGATTGATGAATGGGTAAATAATACTGAGACATTTTCAGATAATAGCCGTGGTTATAAAGTGATTGAGGATTTACATTCAGAATTTCCAGTCGGACATATCATATATTTTGGGGGTCCTGGTAATATCTAAAAATAATTTGATGTAAAAGTTAGACACAAATTACTTTTGACATTTTGTAACCGATCATCTAAATAAATTTGTCACCGTCCTTGTTTATTTTACTTTGCATTCTTCACCTCTTCAAACAGTTCCTCTAAGTTCTCGACATCAACCTGCACCTCGTTAGCAACATACAGCCACATTAAAAGGTTGCCACAGATTCCCACTAGATGGCAGGAGATTATCACCTAACATTATCAACATTCCCAAATTCACCTCCTTAATTATTTCTATTTGAACATGTTCAACGAAAGTCAATCACATATAAGAGAGAGAGAGAGAGAGAATCAGAGACCAAGAAGGGGATAGAGAGTGGGAGAGAACTACTAAATACTCTAAACAACGAAAAGAAACCAAACATGGAGTATAAGTGCCCAGTTGTATAATGCACTTGGATTTCTCTCTATCGCGCAAACATACCTACAAAAGTTACAGCTTAAAACTTGAGCTCACCAAACAGCACAAACATAAAATATCAAACCTGCCTTTGAGGGCATAATAAGTTCCACACAGATATCAATCTAATTCATTTTGTTAATCAACTAGCTATGAAACAAAGCAGCAATTTTCATGGTTGCATTTCTCATCTAAACTTAATTGTAAGTGTTACATACTTGCGGGCAGCAAATGGAATGGATCCATTCCATAGAGAAGAAACCTAAAGGGAGAAACAGAACTGTGAGGAGTTCCATCTCCTTCCTCGCTTTTTAATTCTTCTACGGTGACAGATCTTGTAGAACTATCGACCTCCTCAATATTATGGGAATCAAGAACCTGAATGTCTTCAGTGTCGCTGCTCTGCTTTGAGTCACAGCCATTTTCATTGCGTTCATGAATCTCGCGACACTGTCTCCGCATGTTTTCATATTCCGTCCTGCAGGATTTCCAGATATATAAGAAGTTAATTACAAACTGGCTCGAAATCTAAGTGATAGGAGTTCCAAACTACTACTTGCACATTGAGCAAGTTAATAACCAGCTGCCACCTAAGAGAAGAGAGAAAAATGGGAAACGTAATATTGGTAAAAAAGTTGAGAAGCCATTAAACTCTCAATAAGTATAAGCGGCGAACGTACTGTTTCAGCTATCGGATGGAGTCCATTTCTTCTTTGGTGCTGTTTAAGTCATAGATGTGAGAGGTGTGTAGAATAAGGTAACAAGAGTCATAACAACAAAAAGGGATTTTCGAGTTCGATGGTAAGGGATTTAGCAGTGAAAAGCTTGTGAGTCTGATAAAGTTGCAAAAGAAGAAACAAAAATACAAAGCTAGGGGAAATGATTATGGAGAGTTCCTTTGAGAGTTAATACATGGAAGTTTCAGACTTCCCACTAAGGAACCTCCCTCCCTTGAAACTAAAAACATATTTCTTCTTCTGACTGACTATTTTCACTTGGAAGCTCCAGGTGACTCGGTTGTGTTGACTTGTATAGGGCACTGAGATACATATGGTTTCAGCTGTAAATTCCAAATACAAATATATTCATCAGCAGAGTAGCTCAAGATTTGTTTTTGTTTGTTAAAATCCAAATAAAAAGTAATACAATTATGAGCACGAGCTTCAGTTACAAGCACAAGTGGTTCCACTAACCATGCACTGTCCAAAATCTAATAGAGCATGTCATATGCATGCACTTGACAACAAAAAGGTCTAAGGGACAAACACTACAAGTATATATTAGTCATTCCCTCCAAACTAACTTGTATATATTCTTACTAGCTGATGCACATATTACATTGTTGCTTTGATTCCGCAGCATTTCTTCTTGCGCCGAGACATTCCCATCCTTCACAACCATGGAGAGATTGTTGTAGTTCAAGACTAGAAATCATCAGTGTTTTAAAGCAGTACAAGTATAAAAGGCTTACTAGTTTAGAATACGCAGAAGCAAGAGACCGAACTGTTTTGTACTTATCAAGAACAGCTATGGCAATTTCCTCTGTTACCTGTGGTATCTGCAACAAAAAGTAGACGAAAGTTGCAGCGAGAATCCCCGATACTTATAAGATACTCGACGCTTAGCAAGACTCAGTACCTGCATAAGCTGAATGGCAAATACGTCGCTGATTGTCCTTTTACCAAGGTCTTGACACCTTTTGACAAAATCATCGAAAGAAGGACACGCAACTTTGCTCTGGTCATCATTCACCCGTGACTTGTAGTATTGGTATATCGATTTAGTGAGATAACCGTATTTTCTTAACGTCTCACCCAGCCCGTTTGTCCTCAGCACATCAAATCCTTCCAAAATCTCCGTTGTGAAACAACTAAAGAAAAGTAGATGAAACCAAATTTGGTTTCCAAACCTCAAAAAAAAATATGCACAACCAATCAGAATCTTCTGTTAAAAGATAAATCTTACGCCGTTTTAATACTTTCTGCTGTACTAGACTGGTTTGGGTCCCCTTCAAGAATGTATATCAGCTTCTTGATTCCTGATCTCTATTTAAAATAGCAAATCAAGAAGACAATGAGAAATAACCATTAACAAAAGATAGAGTTGAGAGTACACTACACACACCTGAAGTCTAAGTTTTTGGTCCTTGTAGCGATTATCCATAATTGACGAGCGCATATCATCAACGTTCTTCCGCTCAACAATAAAGTCCAGAACATATTCATCTTGTTGGTACTTATGCCGAGCAATCCAGATACAATCCCCAACTGGTAATCTTCTAACCTACAGATTCAACACCCATTTTCAAGTTAATTTTTGTAAGTTGGAATCTGTTGACATCTATCAAAGAAAGCAAATGCAAACCTCAATCTTGATCTTGAATACAGAGCGTATGTTATCAACTATGGACCGTGATCTGTGAATAAGAAGGTATGGGTTAGTATTATCAACAACAACATAGATAGGCTATTATCACACTTTCTTAACTAAACGATAAGAAAAAAAAGAGTAGAGTTCCACAAACCCCTTGGTGGCAAACTGTTCTCGATCATCCAGTAACAAGATCACATCATATGCTTCCTCAAACGCTTCTCCGAATCTAAGAGGTGGAAGGCGTGTAATAGTTGTCACTCCTTCGGTTCCATCGGACGCCAACTTTGTAACCACAAAAAACAACTAAAGCTGATTAGCAATCCAGTTGCTTCTGATGATAAACATATAGCTAATAATCTACTGAACTCAAATTGTTACATACGGAAGATGAGCAGGCTTTCATGGCATGGCTCGAACCGGAAGAACATGGATTTAAGGTGGATCCAACATTGCAAGAACGGAATTTCTTAGAGAAAGATCCCTCAAGATCAACTTGACCTGTATTTGTAGCTAAGACTTTATAAGATGAAACATACAACATTTAGCAGACACTGAGACACATCATTAAAGATATTAGATCACATGCTTGCTAATGATCGTACATGCTTGTGCTCTATAAGAAGGTCCAGCTGGAATGGATGATTGTCCCCTGGATCTTGCATCGACATACGGCTGTTCTTCTCTCATGGTAAAAGAGGAGGTTGAATTTTGATTAGGTGGTATATTTGCTTGCTGTACAGGATCCATTTCATCATCAGATAAGATGTCAACCGAATTAAGTAATCCAGATCGCACGATACAGTCATCAGCTACATTCCGACCTTCAACTGTCAGCATGTACCTATGAAAAGGAAAATCTTATCATATGTCTCAACGTAAGGTCTGTTTCTCTACACATAACACAAGTCAAAAGCGCAAAATACAGAAGACAGTGTTTTAGCAATGAGTTTTTACTTTGCCGGGTTGCTAGATTTCACCACCAATCCCTTCTCTATAAGTATCTGCATGCAGCTCCACCCGCTATACCACTCCCTCTTAGAGTTTCCAACTCCTACTTTTCCTTTACCTTTCTCTGGCCTATCAACAAGAAAAGAAGAATAAAACATACAGCAGTGATTGGGAACAAAAATCAACAAGTTAGAGATTGGAACGTGATTTGAATCATACGCAATAGGAACGTGTGAGAGCCCACTAGCGTCAGCAGCGTCCATAAGCTCTTGTTTACGCATGAATGCTTTCCCATTTGCAGTCTCTCTAGTAAAATACAAACAAACATAATGGTCCTGAAGAATGGTTCACTTAGAGGAAAGAACGAGTACATTGTAAGGTAAATCAACATGTAACTAAACCTGTGCAATGTTATTAGTAATGCATAAGCCGCAGAATTTCTTCGCGGCCTGTAGGGTTCTGTTCCCTTGGCCTTTTTCCCTGAACAGAGAATAGAATGACCTTACATAAAAACATGACATTGATATTTCAAGTGAACAATGTGCGGTAATAGATACAGCAGACACTATTACCAGCACGATTTCCAGGTACAGCTTCAGGACCAGTAACAAAATATTCTTGCATGAGCTTAACCATCCACTTGCCAAAGCCCCTATGAACCAAATCCAGCCAAAATCAAAAACCAAACACTTGGACGGATACAAGCAAAGCAACTCCAAAAACTAAAACCACTCAATTAAAAAAGAGACACTTTCTCTTGAAACAAAGAAACTTGTTTGATCTTCTCCGATCTCACAACGATAAGAAAACAAACAGATTCTCCAATTTTCAAGAACAGTCTCAATTTTCTTGACTTCAAAGTCAGATAAAACAAACACAAACCTATTCCTAAAACCTAAATTAACAAGTACCCCCAATGTATGAAGTCGATAAAAAGACAAATATATAAGTTATCTTAGTCACTGAATCATTACCCAATTCAATCTGAAGACTTTCGAACCAGGAACACAAAAAGGTCACACCTTTTCCTTAAAAATTGAACAAAGCTCACATCTTTAACCCATAACCGAGCAAGAAATAAGATAAAACCTAGAAAAACGACAATTCCCACAAACCCAAAATCCAAAAAGAAAGCAAGAAACATACTTGATCTTCGACAAGTCTTTGAGGGTGTCAATTGAATCCTTGGCGTCACATACATTTCTATAGGCTTTAACAAATGTCCTCTCCAGATTTTCTGACAAACCCTTAGGCTTATCTTCGTGTTCTTGCTTCTTCTGCAACACATAGTCCGCTAAACCTTGGTTCTGTGAACACAGTACCCTTCTCTGGTCAACCATCACTACACACTCCAAAGAGTTACACAAAAAGAGAGAAATTTCTCGCAAAGGTTTGATCTTTGATTTGCAGGAGAAGTTTGATGACGAGTCAAGAGCCTCAGTCTGACACAGAGGCTTAATCCAATTTTCAATAATTTCGATATGAAAAGAATCTTTGGTTTAATTAAATTAAACCGGTGTTTAAATCTCAATAATCTCAATCCAAGTTGAACCAAAATGAAATCAGAACTGGACCGATTTTTATTTAATTTATC